GGGGGAACCGGGGGAAAACCGGACGAAAGGGGAAAAAAAAAAAAAAAAAAAAAAAAAAAAAAAAAAACAAGCTGAGGTGAACTTCAGCTCGTTAAAAAGTTACAAACGGAACAACCCGGGTTGGCGCTGATGAAGAGAAGCTGCAGCTCCCGCTGACTGCTTGGATCAGCATCCTTATGTTTCCCTCCTCACTCAGCCTCCTTTTTTTTTTTCTTTTTGGCGCTGAAAGCTGCTCCACTGAACCTCCTTCTCCAAACCACACCGAGGACAGCAACTTAACAGGCGTCCCTCTTACCACCCAAAAAAACCCCAAAAATCACAGCTGTGTGCGCAAACGGACCAGCCCACGGTATGTGTGCGCGCTCCCGCAACGCGCGCGCCGCCACCTGAAGCAGCTCCCCTCTAGTGTAATAGTAGCTGGTGATGATGTGGGCTGATACACCGACCGGCCGCGCGTGGGTGGGTGCGTGAGTGGGCACACGAGGAGGTTATTACTGCTGCAGTCTACTTGGATGAATGGCAGCGAAGGTAAAAGAGAAGCTGAACTTTTATGGTTTACCCATCAGTCAGTGCGGCGGGCTTGGAGCGTCGCGTTACATACAGCTGCGTTCAAAATGTTTAAAAGGGGAGTGAAATGCAAAGTTTAAGATGGTAAAGCAACAATCTTCTGTTTCAAATCAAAATCAGAAGGAAAAATTATTGTTTTTATAGCACAATCACATAATATGTTACCTTCAATTATTAAAAAAAGTATACAAAATATGACTTAAAGGAAATTTGACTATGTAATTTAACTCCTTGAAATTGGGCCTCCGTCTCTTTAAGAAGCTCCTGCTCTTTGTGAAACTCCGCCTTCAGAAAGTCGTCACAACATGACTCCTCTGTTAACCCTTTAACATTTTTACCAGCGTTGTTCAGAGACGTAGCTTCTATAATGAGCTCAGCTGTTGCACAGTTCCACCAGGTGTTTGCTAATTGCTGCTGGCTAGTCTGAAGGAGCTGAGTTACAAGAGAAGGGTGCTTTGTGAGGTGGAAGCTCAGAAACTGCAGCTTAGAGGAGGAGATGCGTCTCAAAGGCGGAGCTAGGTCTACCCAGGTGTTTGCTGTGCCAAAACATCTGAGTTGCCATGGGAGATTAAATGATTCCTCAAACATGCATGAAATAATGAGGGAAAAATATAAGATGAAATAAAGCTAAAAAAAAAAGTCACTTTTACATAATACTGCCCCTTTAAATGCATTTCCTCTAAAGTGACAGGAAGTGAGGACACAGGAATGTCAGAGTATAAACATGAGATTTTTCACCTTCCTGTGAAGCATTAACCAAATATAACAGCTGTTTCTGTGAACACATCTGTGCTGGAGTCAACCAACCTGCCGGTGTTCCAGTCCAGGGTAAATTAACTACACTCAATAAATCATCTTCATTTCTCTGTATTGCCTCAGTTTGGAGTCACTGAATCATCCACTTAAAAAGCTTTTTTTTTTTTTTTTCATCTCTAGCATAACATCTTCAAGGTTTTTTTTTTTCTTCAGCCATGTTCACATGTTCAATAGATTAGCATTCGGATGAGGCTCATTTGTTTGCACCATTCAAATGACAGACATGGAAAAAAAACTGAAATTCTTGGTAATCTTTTTAAGGTATCAAATGTCAATCGGCTAATTTTCTGTATGGCCAGGCCAGTAAAAATTTAAGGTAGACACAGCTAAATTTGATTTTATAAAATCTTATTTATTGGGTTTTATGTTTACGTCTTAATTGAAGAAGATGAGTCAGTACGGCCTTCTCTGACCTTATCAGGAGGGGGCCCATGGCCCCTCTGCCCCTCCCTTGGGGCCACCACTGTCTCAACACACAAAAACGTAAAACATTGTAGGATTAGCTGCTATGTGGTTTTATTATGCAAACAGATTAACAGAATAATCTGGAACCAACAAATTAAAAGTTACATCAACCAGCCTAATTTTTATCATTCTTATAATGATAATATATTATAGCCTTATAATATAAAGTTCTAAGTATGATGGTTCAAAATTATGTTTGTATATTACCTTTAACATCACAATGCAAAGAAAAATTTTATTTTATTTTTTTTTTAGATAAACTGCTACTATACACACATTACTGTAGATCCAGAACAAATGAACTATTCTGCTGTTGTAGTTACCATTACAGTTGAAATGGCGCCATCTAGTGTTCGGTCTGCCACACAGCATCTAATCTGCTCAGAGAAAAAAATAAATCTAATCAGTTCAAATTCCCGCTTTCCACTCAGAGTTCTGTAACTTAATACATCTGCTTCGCCACATCTAATGGCTTCCACCATGTTAGGCACTAGAACTGTGATGTCCTCCATCAAAAAGCAGCAGCTTGTTCAGACATGCTGAAATACCTCCAACAACAACAAAAAACAACATGAGAGGGGCTCCTCTCTGGTGCCTGCAGTGACAGACATTTCTCGTCTTTTCAAGTGTTCTTCAAAGCCCGGAACAGGCAGAGAACAAGAGCAACACCTCTGTGCGCCTGAGCCGCAGAGAGCTTTGCATGGATTTGCACAGCAAACACGGAGAGAAGCTGACGGCAAACCAACAAAACTCGCCGTAAACTCAGCTCACTTCCAGCCTTTCATGGCAGCGCAGAGAGGAGGAAAGAGAGGAGGGCGGGCGGGGAGGCGACCAGCAGTGCTGTAAGTGCTCAGACTGCAGTAGTGCTGGGTTTACTACCTGCACTGAGAGCACTTTTCAACTGCAGAGTCAACAGGAAGGCCAGTTTAAACAATCCGAGGAGGTCTGTGCAAAAAAACAAAAACAAAAAAACATACTGCTGGAACTATGACAACAGCTAATAATACTGCTTTTAAAAAATGTTGACATGAAAAGTGGAACATCAGTTTGTGTTCAGCTCCGTTTCTCTTTACTGTTAATGTTAAAAAAACAACAACTTTTTTTACAACTGCTGTGTTAATGTTAATAAGAAACGCAATTGAAATTATCTGTGAATAAGTTTGTTTGTACGATATCGCTAAACAACATGCCACGCCATCATCACCCTCCTGCCACTTCCCGTCGTCTTCTTGGTCGATTCCGCCAGCAGTAACATCCGGCGGTTAATAGCATGAAGTGCTTCTGTTGCAGTTTTGCAAAATACGCAAATGTTAATACAGCTGAAAACCCACTTCATCTCAGGACAAAAACTTCAGTGGAAAACTTTTTTTTTTTTTCAAAATTGATGCATTGATGCATTTATTTTCATAATTCCAATTAGCGCAACTATATGATCAATGGAAATCCAGCTATTGATGCTGGTCAGAGATGTTAAAAAATACTTTAACTCACTGACTCGGAGAGGCTGAGTACAAACGCATGCCACACTTTTCAGAATTTACTCTGTAAGACATTCCCAAAACCCGTCCTCCTTCCACTTAACATATTCCTACTTCATTAGGAAATCACATAAAAACTAAAACACAATACACTGAAGCTGGATAATGGCTCCTGACAAAACATGGAGAAGGCTCATTAATCTTTTCAGAAGGGACTGAAACAGAAAGAAGAAAAAAAGCATCATCACAGAAGCAAGACATTGGAGATCTGCAGCAGATTTCATCGCATAAAGATCCAGGAAATGAACAAACCCTCCAGCCAGAAGGAGCAACTAGGGCAGTAGATTCTGAAATAACTCACTAACTACACTAGATGCACCTTAACTAGAGGGCTGCGACACAGGAAGAGAGAGGTTGAAAACCAAACCAGGAACTCCTGAAACACAACAAAGGCAAATGTCAGTGACAAATGATTAGAAATATACAATTTGATGCCGTACACAGGATCCGAGCAACACTGAGGCATCCATCAGACATGAAATCATGTGTAATGTAAAAATCGGACTTCTAGAACTAGCCTGGAGAGTGTTAAGCCGGAATGAGACGCCCTTTGTTTGGGCCCGGGGGAACCAGTTCTCTGATACGCAGCTTCTAGTTTTGGACTCTAGTAAAAGGTTCTATTTTACTGCTTTGAATCAACTTAAGATCTAAAATACCTAAACCGGGTCAAGTCTGGACTGGATCATTTGTACAGAGGACAGAATATTTACAATCAAGTTTAGTTCTAAACAAGTAAAATTTCACTTTGATTAAAAATCCTCCAGGTTGTGATGATGCCTGATGTCTTTACTCCAGCTGTTCACGCACAAAAACCAGGGATTTCAACGTCATTGTTTTTGGCAGACGGACCTAAAACAAAACAAAAAAAAAACATCTAAATCATTTCAGCTGAAATTGTGTTTAGTATTGATCCACATGATTCTCTTTTAATAATCTACAAAAGGCTTTTCATTACATTCATATTAAACAACAGCTTGTCCAGAATGGCATAAATCTATAGGGGTGTCCTCCACGGCTCTATTTTGGGACGACTTCGATTTCTTATTACCGTTAATAACTGTTGGGCTACTCATTACTTTTAAGTAATAAATAACCAATCAACATAAGTGATGGATTACTTAGTACTTGGGTTTATAAGTAACCCATTAAAGCTCTAGGTTGTGATAAATAATTAAAGGTGTAGAAGTGCTACATTTTGTTTAAATGTATTCATACTCCTTGAATTTTCCCATATTTTGTCACATTATTTAACAGACCAACACAGGAAAGTGCATATTTCTGAGGTGAAAATAAAATTATAATTTTTAAAAATGTTTTACAAACTAAAATCTGAAAAGTGTGGCATACATTTGTATCGAGTCAGTACTACAGAAGGACCTTTTGACTGAATCACAGCCTTCTCGCCGACCCGTTTGCCGTGTTCCTTCATGATGCCGTTTGATGGATAATGTCCTCTGAGGCCTTCCCACAACGCTTTGATGTACACCAGGGGTCGGCAACCTTTACGTTTCAAAGAGACGTTCTTACCCTCCGTCCAGCTAAAAGAAACTTGTTTGGAGCTGCAAATGTTAAACAAAAAAAAAAAAGATAGTTTTTGATAAATACCGGTATCTCGAATAGGAAATGTAATTTGTAAAGAACCACAATTTCATTTCTAACTTTATATATGTACATAAATAGCAGGGGATTGTAGAAAGAGTATGGATACATTTTCTTCAATTCAATGTTGACATCTGTAGAAAACATCAACATAAAGCTAGCAAAAAATGAGAAATGGCTTGGAAAAATATCACTTGTACTTGTAGCATGTTTCTGTAATGTCTCTAATCGTTGCATGCAAAAATAAACTGAACTGCTACAATGTTCACTTGTTGCTAGATCTATGTTTAATGACTGTTCGTTATCATGTTTCCAAAGCTATTAAGAGCCATTGTGATGGGTCCAAAGACCCAGTGGCTCCACAGGTTGGAGACCCCTGATTAATACAAACACCATGTTACACACAAGTCTACTCTCTTTAGTAATGATGAGACTGAAAGTGATTAGTAGAGCTGGGTAGTCAGAGAAAAGGGAGCTTGGATACATGCAGAACAATCATCTTCACCTGCTCTCTCTCCACAATTATGCACTAATTTAATATGAAGTCATAAAAACAATTTGAGGTTTGCTGTTGTGACATAAGACGTGAACTGGTTGTAACATACTTTTTCAAGCTACACTCACTTCAGCCCGTTTTCCACAAGGTGGGGAGATTACTAATAACTTGGGAACAGTGGAGAAAATGCTTCAACTTTTCACGGTAAGGTCAGCAGTATGTTCATTGTTGCTTTCCCC